CATTTCGCTAGTCGCCTGCATGGTAGTCCTCCGTGAGCACCGGAGAGCAGCGACTGGCCCGTTTGATTGTTGGCCGTGGACTCCTTCCTCCAGCCACCTCCAGCGCCATCGCCATTTCCGGCAGAACCGAGATTGTACACATCTAGTCCACGTCCGTGCATTTCTGTGTGTGGGCGCAGGGCAGTCGGTGAAAAGTAGACGCACACACACATTGCCCATCATTACGCATAACATTAAGTTGCAGCAAATGAGCATCACTTACGTTTTTTGTACTTTATGTCGGCGTTCAGTTTTCCTGCGCCTCCTCCGCCGCCTCCGGCAATCAGCAGGGGCACGTACTTCATCTTTTGGTGTGGGTTCATTTTGAAGACGTATGTGGCACCACCACCGCCGCCGCCGACGTCAGAGCGGCTCTTGACGAACCCTTTCGGCGGAGTAGCTGTGGGATTTGCCAAATGGACGTCTGATTTGCATGCATCAAAGTGCTCCGTCTGCTCGGAGCAGGCATCGGCACCTGCCTGGCCGACGGAGATGAAGATGGTGTCGCCTTCTTGGAACCAGAATGCAGCTCGCACCAGGCTGCCTCGGCCGCCAGTCTCGTTGTGCAGTCCTTTGCCGCCGCTCGCTCCGAGGGCAAAGATTCTAATGGTGATTGCAATAAAATAAGTGGCTAAAATAGGGGAAAGATAAAGGACGTTCATGTTACTTACGTGTAGTACGCCGACTTAGGCACTGTCCACATTTGTGAGCCATTCAGACTGAGGTCGTTGGTGTTTTCAAATACTGCTGCTCTCGTGGAGCTGTTTAGGTAGAAAGATTCACATTGCGAGTACGTGGGTCCGATGCGACCGACGGCGCCACAGGACGTAAAGGTGTAACCTAAGAAGTAATATGCAAATTTAGCAATGTATAGAGAACTAGTGCACTCATTGTCTTCACGCTAATCTCACTTTTGATAGACTTATTTTGCGGTATTGTGAACGGCTTTCCGCGTATTAAACTGGGAATAAAAGCAGGAACACGAGGTTCACTTTCAGGCACATCTATTGGTAACAAAGTGCTGTTAAATAGAGAAGATTAGCTGGTAAAAGTAAACACTAACCGATTCCAAAGCACTCCTTGCTCAAGCTAAAATTGTCAATAGCAACGGATATTTTTTCATTAAATGCACTGAAGGTTTTCAAGCCGAGGCCAGCACCGAAGATGAGGCGATACTTATGGTGCACATTGAGCGGTAGTGAAATGGACACATTCTCCCATGTTCCAAAGGCCTTTTGACGATTGAACTTTCGCCACACAATCGTGTTGGGTTGTTTTTCATGATCAAGTTGTGGCTCTAACTCTAGCGACAGATCACTTGATGAAGTGCCAAATAGGTAACTGAAACGGGCCTGTTAGGCAAGAAAGAAGATTAAAATGGTCGTAATAGGAGAGCGTCTGCATTTGACAGTTCTGCGGACTGACCCTGCATGATTTGTGGTACTTTGAGGAGGCCATGGAATGGTAAAGTGGAATGGGCTCAAAAACAACCGACTTGAGGTACGTGAGGGTGGCAAATCGATGGACGCCCTTGAAGGCGACGGCGAGGTAGCCATCAGCGGCGGCACTGCTGCCAATGTGCATCCACTGACCACTGCTGTTGGCTGCGTCTTCATTGAACCAGTGGCAAAAGTTGGACTGAAAGTTACAGTAGCTTCCGCTGGGCAGCTTATCTGCAGATGCAAATGTNGGTAGCCATCAGCGGCGGCACTGCTGCCAATGTGCATCCACTGACCACTGCTGTTGGCGGCGTCTTCATTGAACCAGTGGCAAAAGTTGGACTGAAAGTTGCAGTAGCTTCCGCTGGGCAGTTTATCTGCAGATGCAAATGTGATTAAACGGTGGCACAGGCATTGAGAAATTGGCCCATTGTGGCCCACTTACCACAGTGCAACCTTTCATCCTCTCCCTGGGGACAGTCAGATCTGGTATCGCAGATGGCGTCAGAGGGGAGACACTGCTCATTAGACTCGCATTTGTAGTCGCACTTATTGGAAGCTAAAGCATATCATTAAGAGTATATATTATTCGGATGAAAAAGACTGTTGTTGTAGTGTGTGTGTTAATTTTCACTAGGGCACCTAAGTACTTACGNTTGTGGCCCACTTACCACAGTGCAACCTTTCATCCTCTCCCTGGGGACAGTCAGATCTGGTATCGCAGATGGCGTCAGAGGGGAGACACTGCTCATTAGACTCGCATTTGTAGTCGCACTTATTGGAAGCTAAAGCATATCATTAAGAGCATATATTATTCGGATGAAAAAGACTGTTGTTGTAGTGTGTGTGTGTGTCTTAATTTTCACTAGGGCACCTAAGTACTTACAAGGCTTCTTGTCGATAATGTTGAGATTATTTACAGCTATGTAGTCGTGTTCAAAGTCAATTTGATCAGGATCGAATTTAATCTCAAGCATGACGCTAATTCTACTGTTCCTTGGAAGTTTTATAGAGTACAGATCCCACTTCTGCTTGCGATTGCTGGTGATTTTGAGGATCTGCGATTCAGTGCTCTTCCCCGAATCACTCTGCGCTACGACAACAAAGATGTTGCCAACAAAGTTCATGTTGACATTAAAGGAGAGCTCATAGTCTCCCCCAGAGTCGAATGCCGGACTCTGGAGGGAGAACGTAACAAAGTGGTCCTTCTTGTGCTCCTCACCGGGACGCAACAGCAATATCAGATCTGCTAATTTACATTTGTTATTTATGTGAACATGGATGTATTGTTCTACTTGAAAGACAGTTTACCTTGTGCGTTGTCATAGTCGTAGTTGGTGTAGTTGAAGATGGCTTCAAAGTGGGCCTCACCACCGAAGCTCCAGTCGCACAGTGAGTAATCATTAAAATCACAGCTGAGATTTTCAATAACCTTTTGAGCGAATGCATTGTGCGATAGAGCGAGGAGATTAAAAATCACCAGCGAGAGGGTTTCAGTCCACTTCATCATTGCACCATTGCAGTGTTCAGCAGTGTTCAGTGCTGAGCAGAAGGTGAAGCAGTTAGCTTTGCCGTTGTATTCGTCTGACGATTGACCGCCACATGGTTGGCCAACACGAGGTCGAGGGCACACAGGTGGCTTCACTTGGCACTGTTCATAGCACAGGAGGCGACGGAAGGCAAGGGTCCGGTGATTGTGGTGCTCTCGAGGATGTGTGCAAGAGGCCCGGCAAAAATACCGTTGCAGCCAGGCTTTATGGCGCAAAATGCCACCGAATCAGTAGAACACTTTGACGTCTAACGTCAGGCACAGTATGGAGTTGTTGCACAGACTGCGCTGTACCGCTGCAAATGTCAGTGCAGACAGCGACGTGACAGCAGCGCAATTCGCGTTACATCTGCAACAGCAGCAGCATCAGCAGCAGCATCACGAGTAGCCAAAGAAGGCGACGGCAGAAGCACCTTCAACTGAACGGTGCAGAATTCTCGCAGCAGAAAGGAGAGCAAAACTTTGGTGATGAAAAGAGTGTTCAGCAAAGTGTTCAGGCTAGCACCAGCTACACACAGCTGCAATGGCTGCTGCTCGATGCCACTAAGTAATGGTGCCTCGTGCTTGATGGCTTTCCATTTGATGCTGTCGATTCTGTATTCGCTCGCTCGTTTTCTCCCTCCGCTTTCTCTCCATTCGTCCGGCTTCAGCTCAACTGAACACACCGTTTGTATGTGTGTTTGTTTTGCAAGGTCCGACATCTCAATTCATTACCAGCAAATTGATATAGCGCCACCAGCTGAATACAGCGGTCCCTTTTGCTAACAGCGTACAGCATTGTGGATGCCGCTGCCGCCGCCGCTTGGTCCGCATCCGACGATGCGTCTGCCCGCTCTTTCTCTCTCACTTCTCTATACTTGCGAATTTGTTCTCCGGTTGCTTCCATTACCATTGCTCCGATGCAATGCTATTAATTGCACTGATGGTGGTGGTGGTGGTTGTAGTGGCGGTATATAGCCTTCAGTGTCAGAGACGGATTTGTCGCATGTCACGCTGTTGTGTGCTCTTGTTGCCAGTACTGTTCGTGAATGCAGGGAAAGAGAACAGAGGGGACAGGAAGGCAACTGACGCCAGAAGTCCATAGGCAGGCGTAGTGCCTTTCTTTGAGTGCCTGCACACACACACACACACACACACACACACACACATCTGCACACTGTACACTTGCCACTATTCTTCAGCACGACTCGTCTGCAGTCGCCCTGTTTGTGTGTATGTGCGCCTGGACGAAGCCTAATCCGTGAAGCAAAGTCAAGTGCAAAAGCAAGACACTGCTGCTGCTGTTGGCAGAAGGCTATATGCCAGGGCAGTTGCTTTCACTGGAGGCCATTTCCAGACGCCTGCTGCCGAACCGCTCTCACTCTCACTCTAATTCTCTCTCGTCGACTTGCACACTGCAAGTGGCAGGCATTGTCTGGTAGATCGGCAAATCGGCCAAGTGCACAATCGAACGGCAAAATGGCAAGTGGAAGCTTATCGATTGCCGACGAGAGTAGCTGACTGACAATGCACGGCAAATGGACTGATGCATCGCTTCTCTTCAGTCTGCCCAGAATGCATCCACGGTCCGCCAAAATAAAAGATGGAAAGAGGAAAGGGGGGTTTGTTCAAGTGAAAGTCGCTCTTCCGATGTGTCTCGTCCTAATACCTTATTATTAATTCAATTGCTACACATAAAAAATGCAATTTATTTTAAAAGCCTGTCGGCAAAATGCTTCTAGGGAAACTGAAAGGGACGAGCGACCGAGTAGACAATTGAGCCAGTGAGTCAATTGAAAACATTGTCGGAAAATTTAGAAGTAACAAAGTAACAAAAGGAAAGTGCTAGGGAAGCTAGGAAAGTGCTACTGCTTTATGGGCGCAGATTTATATACTGAATGGACGCCATTAAAAGTGTTGTTTGTCAAGCAAATTGTGCATTGTACATTTTAAGTTGTGGGGCTGCTCTGCAGCTGAGCCGGCCACTTTCGCGGTCAGTTGATCACAGCCGACGAAGCCATCTGTGTCAGGCCGCAGGAATCATCACCACGGTAAATTCGATAGTACCCATGTTCGCCCCAGCCTAAACATGAGCACGACAATATTATGGAAAGAGAATAGAATTAATGCATGCATACCTTTTCCCCAGCTATTTTTAATTATCCAGTAAGGCAATGTTCGGTGGAGGATTCTCGTCTTTCCCACACCGAATCCAACTACACATCATTATACAAAATAAAAAATGATTAATCGATTATTGTTGTTGCACATTTTCAATAGAAAAAATGCTTACCGATCAACACTCCATGATCAAGATTCTGGGGGTCACATAAGAATTTGGGTGGGTGCGAAATTCCACCAAAGTAAAACTGCATAGCATTAGCATTTAAACCTGTGAATTATAAAAAACTCATTTATAAATATGAGCAGTTACTGTTATAGTGTTCTGGCAAACCAATGCTGATGGGTCCGTTGGCAAAAAGGTAGTTCTGAAAATAGGTTTCATTTTTCGGGAGTTCCAAGTACGAATCAATGGAAACGTGCGACAGTGTTCGGTTAAAGCGACACTTTTCTTGAACTCCATCATACGAGTAATCTCTCTCTGATTCGATGCCTCCCAAGCGAATAATAGTCTTGAAGGCGTTTGTAGGAAGACCTCCACCACATCCAGCGTCTGATAACATTTATTTATTAAAATTACTTTTCTGTTAAAACGTTTGGTTAATAAAAAGCACTTACCTAAACTGTCGCAATCGACCAGTTCTTAATAAAAAACAAAATTTAAATAAACGAATAAAAATTTTCACTTATACCTTGTTCCGAGAGTGAAACTGTTTCATTTTTCTTAACCGCCCAGACTCCTTCAATGTTGCCAGTTGTACTAAAAGCCCAGCTAAAAGTTCATGATTATGTTAGTTGTTTGATAAACCCAAAAATTGAAATAGTCTTACCAACTTCCACACATTCCCTGGTTTTTGACCTCACTAATCACACCTTTCGTCTGACGCCAATCAAACTGCGTCGGTAAGTTTGTGTTTCCTTCAAAATGCTCGGTTTCCTGCAGAAGTGTTCTTGGTGGTTCACTGTACAGAGCTTTATTTAAACCCATTTTTGTAGATCGGAACTCCTGGTACGTCAAATCAGTGAATTCAGTAATTCCATAAACAGCAGTTCCTTGCTCGTGCTGGTTTAGCTCGGCAATCTTCCGCAGATTAGTGCTAAATACTTTGAATCGTTTCAACTTCTCCTCAAAGTCGTGCTTGTACGCCTTGGAATGCTTGTGAATAAACTCCTCAAACATGAGAACTTCATTCTGTAGAATGCAACACTGATTAGGATGAACATGAACATGAAAACAAACCTTTAATGGGAAGATATCGAGGTGTTGAAGCAACTCAGAAGGAGAGCCTTGAGACAGCTGAACAATTGACAAGGCTGCCAAAAGCCCAAACACAATTGGGCGAGAGAACATCATCAGATTGAGTTATACGAAAAATATGACTTTATTGGAAAAATAAACAGAAATTGTCAGAAACAGAAAAAATGTTTGATTGGTCTGTTGTCAAGAACGGACGAGAGAAAAGTGCCTGCGAAACTCAAGTCGCAGTCTATCTACAACGCAGTTTTTGGCCAGATATGCTACAGAAATGAAGTAAAGTGTGATAAGAACAGTGAAACATTAGTCACATGATCGATGAATGATTAGATAAGTGCCCTGCCAACGATGAATAGGGGTGGGGTAAAAGCGGCTAGTCGGGAAAGGCAATGCACTGAACTGAGGTAATGAAGTGGCTTGCAGTGGTTCGTTTGGTCTGTGTCCTACTCTACACCGGTGGCGGTCCGTCCTGGTAGGTTTTCATAATGCCTGAGCGATATTCGTCAAACTGCATCAGACAGTTGAAGTCACTTTCGCTGTGGGGAAATATGAGGAGAATCAGCAAAAGTAGTAAGGGTAACAGGTAACAGGGAAGCGAGTATCGGGCCACACGACCAAAGTTGCGAGAGAAAAAGTTCCCTGATGGAGGACGATTAGGCTGCTCCCTGGGCAGAGAAGGTCGAGGCTGAGATTCGGCCGGCTCATTAAAAATGTTGTCACGTGATGTGCTAGATGACTTTGATTGCATCAACTGAGAGTCAGGAATTGCTGATTGAGGCGAGACTGATGCGGCTGCCTGGCCGATATCAGCGCGGTCAATGGCTGGCACTGTGGACAAGTTGCGCACCGTATCAGTGGTATCTCCCACGCTTAGCTGGCGCACGTCAAGTGGTCGCTCCTCTTTGCCAATGCCGCCGTCAGTATCGTTCAGATGACACTTTGCTGCAATGAGGTCATCGTCTTCATGTGGAACACTCTCACTATCCGCCAAATACTCGCCAGCAAGGATTGGGGAACCAGGAGAAACCATCTCTGCAGCACCGCTGTTTTGATTGCAAAACTCCGAGTTAAATGTTTCATTTGCATTCTTGGCGCTTTTGTTGTCGGAGAGATGGGCATCCGCATTTTCAAAGGCAATTTCCTTGATGTCGTTGGTTGGCGCAACAGTTGAAGGAATGTCTGCATTTGATGAAAATTGCTGTTCACTGTCAAGTACNAAAACTCCGAGTTAAATGTTTCATTTGCATTCTTGGCGCTTTTGTTGTCGGAGAGATGGGCATCCGCATTTTCAAAGGCAATTTCCTTAATGTCGTTGGTTGGCGCAACAGTTGAAGGAATGTCTGCATTTGATGAAAATTGCTGTTCACTTTCAAGTAATCGAGAAGAGTTTGCTTGCTTTGTCTTGATGGTAACATTCAGTTTGCTCTTCTTTGAAAATGAATCTAGCACTTTAGATTCTACGTTTTGACCGACAGAGACGTCTTGAAGGGCAGACTTATTGAAGGACACAGACAGGCTGTCATCAGCAGGAGACAATTCGCTGGTTAGATCAATTAAAGGAATGTTTTCAGATGTTTCTGAAGGATTATTTGTTACTGCTTCAGTAGTTGGAGACATTTCAGAAACAGTATCCTTTGGCTGTTGACATTCCATTCCTACATCTTCAATAGGTAGCATGTCGGGCAAAAAATCTGGCCGGAGAGCTGAAGCCAATACGGGCTGCTTAAAATCAGAAATGAAGCGAGGTTTTCTCTCAAAGCTTTCTTTAAAATCTTGAGCATCAGTGAAACAATTTTCTCTCGAAACGCTACTTGATGCGTCTCCTCTGCCTTGCTCGTCAAACATTGAACTCGTTGAGGTACCAAGCTCGTTTTGTTCTGTTTCACTGCTTTTATCAGTTTGAAGTGTCGCATTAATCAGATTTTCCCCAGTGGAAATAGAGGTACTGCTATCGTGAACCTGAGTGTCATGCAGTAAGCTCGATTGTTGCTCAAGTTCAGGTTGTTGAATCAATGTTTTGGTGCGCTTCTCAGCCGAGCTATTTATCTCTGTGGATGCTTCTTTAGGAGAATCAATTTCAAGTGATGCCTCCTTTGCTTTTTGCTGGTAGTTAGGGTTAACTGACTGTTCAAGCTCGTTTGATTTTTCAGATAAGCAATTCGGTGGTAAGGCGTTTGACTGAAGCTCATTTGGCGTTAAAGTAGGCAATTCGGAGTGATTCAATTCATAAGTTTCAGTGGGTGAGTCTATTTTTGTGTCTAATGGGGCGTTTTCATCACTAGCTGGACCTAGTTCATTATCAATTATTTCATCTAATTCGGCATCAAAGATGTTGCCTGCTGAACTAGCGTCCTGTTCTCTATGAAGTGTTTCTGCTGGCGGATTTTCCTGCTCTGCTGGCAAATCTGTAGAGCAAACATTGTTTTGCTGAAACGCATCATCCTTGTTGACATTTCGGTCGTACGTTGATAAAGAATTACTTCTGCTAATACTGTTGCCAGAGATTTGCTCAACACTTGAATCGTCGTTTTCTTTGCAATCACTTTTTTCTGACGCAATTGAGTGAGTCTGGTTTATTTGCTCAAAAGACTCACTGGCAGGCTCAATCGTTAGCATATCCAGTTTTGGCCAAATGAGATGCTCACTATGTTCTGGTCGCTTTGAAGCATTGCAGTATTCTCGGAACCATTCAGTTAAATTACTAATCTTTGAATCAAGTACGTCCACTCTTGTTTCAATGTATTCAAGGAGGGCATCATCGTCGCAAGTAACTCTGTTCATGTCGGTTAAAGAACTTTCAGAGTGATCGCTGTTTTTTGGAGAGTTGGGAAGCTCGTCAGTTGATATTTGAGAAGATAAAGTTTGAGTTGACAAATTTGAAACATTCGGAGAGTCTCGTTCTTCAGATTTGACTTTGCAACCAGCTTTTGACAGCTTAACAGCATCTGCATATGTCATCAAGTTATTAGAGTGACCAGTCTCCATGGTTGGTTGTCCAATAAAGTCAGCGTCGTTTTTCATGTCGACTTCATTGATGTTCTCAGCAGGCAATAGACTTTCAGGCGTTGTGACAGTTTTAGAAAAGAGAGAATTGTGTGCCTCGTTGTTGATTTGGCCAAAAAGAGTTTCGATTTCTCCACTTGGATAGCCAGCTTGCCTCTGTTCAGTAGCACAGTCATTTGAATCAGTCTGACCACAACTGCGTGTATCTTCATTGTTGACATTGAAATCATTCAATGGTTGTTTGTCGTTAACTACCGTCAAACACTCTTGCATCGAGCTTTCATCATTATTTTGAATACAAGTTTCTGTTTGTTCAGTATTACTAGACTGCACTTCAGTGGTAAGGGAAGGTTGTTCAACACTGTCTGCCTCTGTGCAATCGCTTTTGATGGTACTTGAAGCATAGGTTTGCAGCTCAGGTTGCACCAACAGAGTCCTTGTTTGCTCTTTGCTCAGTTCAGAGTTTGGCTGTGCTGTAGAATTTGAATAGAAATCAGAAATGCATTTTGTAAAACAATCTTTAGCTTCATTTAAGTCAAAGTGCTCAAGTTGCTGCGAGATTTCATTTTCGTCATTTGAGCTAGCGTGATTGGACTGAATAAAATGTTGCGATATTATTTGCTGTTCAAATTTCAATTTTTCTAGATCTGGTTTTTCCGAAGAGGTATTTTCGTAACATTCGTTCAACTCGTTGACTTTGCTTTTAGACGGTGTTTGAGATTCGGCTATATTTATCAAATTTTTGGCAATGTCATCAAGTTTTTCGGCAATTATACTAATTCTGTTTTCTAAAGATTCTATTTGCTCTTCATTAATTGACTCAAATGATTCATTGTCTAAATTAATTGCTAATGGTTCCTTTTCTACTGATAGCACATTTAATTTCCTTGAAGTAGCAATCACTTTGTTGTTTTGCAGATCATTTTGGTGCGAGTCAATAGTTGCAGTTTCTTCAGTTTTACAATTAGCTGGCAGATGTTGTTCTGAATTGATGTGTTTGGCAATTGTCAAGTTATTGGGTGGCAAAATATCTGTTTTTTCAGTAACAAAAGTGTCATTTTGAGTGGTACTCTCTGGAAGAGGTTGAGCTCCATTTGCATTTGACTCAGCATTCATTTGCAAATCATCAGGAAATGGAACAGTCATGCTACTTTCCTGACAGACAACTGGTAGCTGACTTATTTCATTTGCCAAATCATCGTTATCCGTTGTAATTGGATCACTTTGATGCTTCAAATCTGTGTTTTGATTGAACTTTTTCAAGTTAGTATTCAGAGATTGAAAGTTTACAAGATGAGATTTAGAAAGGGAGTAGTTGTGCAAGTATGAAATTTCATCATTTTGCTTTATTGTGTTTATCGCATCGATCGAGTAAGATTGATTCGTTGTTTCTTCATTTTTGCAATTTGTTTCAAGTGTTTCATTTGAAAATATCTCAAAGTTGTTTTCTTTGACAATATCAAACAAGTTTTGCTTTTCATCTTCAAAAGAAGCCTTTTCAATGTCAGGTAATTTATTTTCAGAAGAGACAGTATTGTTATTTTCTGTCAGTAGTTCAGGTAGTAGTTTGTCATTTTTCGCACTGAGATGTGTTATGATGTTACTACTCTCTTGTGTGTTCTCTTCAAAATGCTCTATTTTCAAAAGTTGATTATCAATCACTTTAGGCGGTAGTTGATGTATTTGCAATTCAGTTTGATTTTCATTGTTTCGCTCTTCATTAAACATTAATGGCTCTGAATTGTTCTTTGTTCTTGATTCTATATTATTTTTGTACTCCGCCACATCTTGCAAAGTTAAAAATGAACCTGCAGGCGATGGATTTTGGTTAAAGACGGTTGAACTTTCATTATTTTCAATTTTGGAGCTGGTTGTCAACTGTTCGTTCATTGGTAAAATTTTCTCGTGTTTTAGTTGATTCAATAAAATATTTTTTGTTGAAACTTTGTTTGGCACTTCAAATATTTGCTCAAGGTTCTCTTTATCGCTGTTTGGCTTAAGAAGTTTTGCATTTTTGGATGATGAAAGATCACTTTTCTGCAACACTTTTTCAAACTCCAAAGAAATCGAATGCTTGTTTGTTGAAGATTCATGTGTAATGTGCCGCTTTTCTCCCGGCATTTCATTTGCTGAGTTGACAAGTTCTTTTAGATTATTTTCATTTTTGCTCATTGCACTTTTATCATTTTCAAAATCACTTTTTGATTTTATGATTTTATGTTTTATGGTGGCGGGAAAAATCTTTTCAATTTGTTCACTATTTTGCGGTAATTTATCTGATTCAAGGTTTTCAAAAGTCTGAGAAATTGGTACTAAGGCAATCAACTGTTCAGCAATGGCATCGAGTTGACAGGAAATGTTGCAAATTTTGTTCTCTAGACAATCCAGTCTGGCGTCTATATTTTCAACTTGGTTTACATCATCATTCAAATGCAAATAACCATGTCCCAAATTTTCCGCTTCAGTTAAATCATTTCTTTTAACTTCGCTAACACTGGTCGATGAGTCAGATAAATTGAAAATCAGACTTTCGGTTGGTGGAAATTCAATTTGCGCTGTACTGTTTGCATTAAGATTTTCAATAAACGGCTTAACATCATCAATGGAGAGGTGTAATTCAATTTGGCGACAATTGTCAACAGTGCTCTGATCATCAGCAGTTACAGAATTACTCAATTTGTTGAGGTGCTCACTTCCCATAGGTTCTTCATTGAGATTCTCGACATTGCTTTCACATTCATTAGTTTGTTTAGTTGACTTTGTTTGCGTATTGACGTCGGCAGACAAGTTTGGATTGACAATTTGTTGATCTGTTGAATGCTCGCTGTTTTGAGTACACAGCTTGTCTGGTCCATCGTCTGGTAATTGACTTGCGTTATTGTGAAAAGAAGTTTTAGATTTTAAAATATTGGAATTGGTATTTTCAGAATAAATGTTTTGATTAGTTATGTGACTCAGGTTTGCACTAGATTCGTTTTCAGACAGAAAACTATCATCAGGCAAAAGATTTGTCACTGCATCCTTATCAAATACCGTCTGGTTTGGCTTTGCAATTTCTTGAGTCACATTTAGGTCAATTTGCTCATTAGTTATTGAAGTGATTTCATCAGTTGTTTGCAGCAGCGTAGTTTCATTCTTTTTATCAAGTGCTGTGTTTCCGTTAAATGCTTCTTGAGAGTTGAAATTAGTATTTTGAACTTTATTAAATGAATTTGACAGATTTTCTGATTTGAAGTTAGCAACATTTGGTTCATTTTCTGTTGCATCCTGTTCTAAACAAGCAATCATGATTTCACTTATGGATTTTTCAACTGTTTTAGTTTGAGAACATTCGAAAGCGTTTTTTGTTGTGTCAGTAATTGTTGCTGCAAAATCATTCAGTAAATTGGCATTTTCAGAGTCAAATGTGTTATCATTTTTAAAGACATTTGTCACCTCTGTATTGATTACAGGAAGTAAAACAGAATAGCTGGACTGACAATCCGTCGGTGTTATGTTTGTTGAATTGCTTTGATGAACTTTAATTTCTGACTTTTCATAAATTGCTGATATCTCCTTTTGATCTTTTAAACAATCGGTACTTGTACTGTCAGCATCAGACGACT